TAATTAAATTGCAAGCACAATTTCCAGATTATCCAATAAAGAAAATTCGTTTAGGTAATGTTGGTGAATATTCGTCACATGCTTTTGACGATTATTGTATGTCCATTGGAATAGCTGTTGAATATTCTGTAGCTTATGTTCACACACAAAATGGTCTAGCCGAATCATTTATTAAACGGCTACGATTAATTACTAAACCATTGTTGATGAGGTCTAAACTTCCTTCATCTGCTTGGGGACATGCTATATTGCATGCAGCAACACTTGTAAGAATTAGACCGACAAGTTATTATACTTATTCCCCTCTACAATTGACTTTTTGATTAGTTGGTATAATAAGAAAATCATTCTCCATTTCTTTCTCTAATATTTCAATTTCTATTATAGTAATTCATTTTATTAGTTTTATATTGGTTCATTTTATAGTAGTTTTTCTTATTAGTTCATTTTAGCAAGAATAACTTTTGGTTATGAATCCAATATTTCTCATTTATGAATATTTGGTTGTGCGGTTTATGTTCCAATTGCACCACCCCAACGTCGTAAATTGGGCCCCCAAAGAAAATTGGAGATATATGTCGAATATGAATCACCTTCAATTATTAAGTATATGGAACCATTGACAGGTGATTTATTTACTGCGAGATTTGTGGATTGCCATTTTGATGAATCACATTTTTCGACATTAGGGGGAGATAAAAATTAACTGAAAAAGGAAATCACTTGAAAAATAACATTGAATTTCCTTGATTCTCGTACTAAAAAATATGAACTAGAATTTCAAAAGATTATACATTTGCAAAACAATACAAATCAATTACCGGATGCATTTAATGACTCCAGAAGAGTTACTAAATCACATATTCCTGCTGAAAATGTTCCAATTGAAATTGATGTCCCTGAAGGACAAATTACAAGTGCTAATAAGTCTAAAACACGTCTGAAACGTGGGAAACCTCTTGGTTCTAAAGATAAAAATTCTCAAAAGAAAAGAGGAGTAGATGAATCAACAATTAGTGATAAAATTCAACTTCCTAAAGAGGTCGCTCCTAAAAAATCAACTCTTGAAGAGAATGAAATTATAGAAAATTCAATAAATTTTGTCACTATAGGAAAAAGTTGGAACCGAAAAGAAATAATTATTGATAATATATTTGCGTATAATGTAGCACTTGATATTATAGTAGAGGACGAGAATTATGAGCCTAGAACGGTTGATGAATGTCGACGTAGAAATAATTGGCCAAAATAAAAAGATACGATCCAATCTGAATTGGATTCATTAGTTAAAAGAAAAGTTTTTAAACCTGTAGTCCAAACACCTGAAAGTGTAAAGCCAGTAGCATATAAATGGATATTTGTGAAAAAAAGAAATGAGAAAAATGAAATTGTGAGAGATAAAGTAAGACTTGTAGGCCAAAGATTTTCACAAAGGTCTAGATTTGATTATAATGAAACGTATTTACCTGTAGTAGATGCCATCACATTTAGATATCTTGTAAGTTTTGCAGTACATGAACTGCAAAACTAGATATGCGTCTAATAGACGTTGTTACTGCATATTTATATGCAAATCTTGAAAATGATATTTATATGAAAATTCCGAAAGATTCAACATACCTGAAACATGCAAATCAAATCTTAAAGATATTTATTCTATTTAAATTATAAAAATTTTTGTATGGATTCAAACAATCTGGACGTATGTGGTATAACCGCCTCAATGAATGTTTAATCAAAGAAGGTTATACCAATTATCCAATATGTCTATGTGTCTTTATCAAGAAAAATGGGTCAAATTTTGTGGTAATTGTTGTATATGTTGATGATCTAAATCTGATTGGAACTCCTGAAGAGATTCAAAATAGCGTTAAATATTTGAAAAAGGAATTTGAAATCAAAAATTTTGGAAAGACAAAATTCTGCCTTGGTTTACAAATTGAGCATTTGAAAGGTGAAATTTTTGTCCACCAAACTGCTTATACCTGGAAGGTATTAAAGCGATTTTATATGGATAAGGCACATGCATTAAGTACCCCAATAGTCGTCAAATTATTAGATCCTAATAAGGATTCTTTTAGATTACGAGAGGAAGATGAAGAGATACTTAATCCTAAAGTACCATACCTCAGTATAATTGATGCACTAATGTATCTTACTAATTGTACAAAACCTGATATATCATTTGCAGTGAATTTATTAGCAAGATTTAGTTCCTCGCCCACAAGACGACATTGGAATGGTATTAAACACATTTTTCGCTATCTCCAAGGAACAATTGATCTTGATTTATTTTATTCAAATAAATCTAAGCCTAAATTACTTGGTTATGCTGATACTGGATATTTATCAGACCCACATAAATCAAGATCTCAGACTGATTATCTATTTATAAATGGGGATACAACCATTTCTTGACAATCTACTAATTAAGTAATGATTAGCCGCCACTTCATTGAATCATGCTAAAATAATAGCAATTCATGAGGTCAGTCTAAAATGTGTTTTGTTAATATCAATGATCCACTATATCTGGAAGAGTTGTGGGTTATTCTCCGAAAAAGAAATCCTCCAACTATATTATATGAAGATAATGCAGCTTGTATATCTCAATAGAAAGGAAAATATATTAAAGGAGATAGGACGAAACATATTTCACTAAAATTCTTTTTTACTCATGATTTGCAAAAGAATGGTGAAATTGCTATGCAACAAATCCAATCAGATAATAATTTGGCAGATTTATTTATCAAAGCATTGCCGACTGCAACATTTGAGAAATTGGTGAAGAATATTGGAATGCGATAATTAAAAGATCTCAAATGATGTTTGCATCAGGGAGAGAAATTAATACACAAAAATAGTGTACTCTTTTTCCTTCACTAGAGTTTTTGCCCCGATGCGTTTTTTCCTAATAAGGTTTTAACGAAGTATATTTTTTGTGAAATAGACATCCAAGGGAGAGTGTTATGAAACAACTAAAAGTGTGAATATCCATTTGTATTTCCAAGATGATTAATTCATGATTCATTGCTATATTATATAAATAAGTTACAATCTATAAATCTTTTCATGTAGTGGATGAACCGTTTCATAGAGTTTTTCATATTCTTGTAGTAATGAGTGTTTAATAGGATTGATGTACCTTTAATCTTGTAGTACCTATATATAGAGGTACATTGATCCCTTTTGTGATGACTTTTGTTTAGTTGAAAAAATAAAAATATCATTCTCGATTTCTCTATTTTCTTCTCTAATATTTCAATTCCTATTATAATAATTTATTTTATTAGTTTTACAACACTTCTAGATTATTTAAGCCTTATCCCATCATCTTTCCCCTTTGTTTTTGTTTCAAAAAATCCAAAATTGCCTTCCTAGCTGACTTGGGCCTTAGTTTGGGCTATGGGCCCTTTTTTTTTTTTTTAACAAAATATTGTTTTTGCTCTAATGTCTTTTCCGTTTTTCTTTGATCCATAATCTGAGTCCAATTTAAACAAACAATTCAAAACTTAGATTAATTAACGATTAATAAAAATGCTGGCCATAATAGAATCCATTTGAATGAAGATAGAGAGTTAAGGACCCAGAAACTTCCCCTTCTATCCGTTGGAAAGAGTTGACCAGCTCATATAGAACTTCAAATGGAGCAAAATAGCTCTGATCCAAATCATGTGTAGAAAGGATGTTGAGACCATTATGCAATTCCCCATTAGCATCACAAACTTTTTCGGAAGCACTCTAAGAATGGGATCTATTTTGTAAGACCAGCATATAATGCAGCCCAAAAGACGAAGAAAAGAAGTTAAAAGAGAATGTAAATGTGGGTGAACCTCGCATGAAAGGACAAAGCTGCAAGATATGCAACTTCTTATGGAAGCCTAATATCAAACATAAGATTAAGTTATTTATTTGGAAGTATCCGCAGCAGATCCTCACAGTTAACGCTGTAATACATAGCAGAAACAGGCAAGCAACCTAATTTGTCAAGGATGCAGGGAAGGTAAAGAATCAATTGAGCATGCTCTTATTCTTGGCCGTGGTGCTGAAGCAATATGGGAATGCTCTCCAGTTATCCAAGATGGACTAGGAGAGCAAAGAGGCAATTTTTGGGTATGGTGGAAGAAGCTGAAAAGGAGCTACAAGCGGAAAAGAGAACTCAGACACATAGCAATCACAGCAAACATTCTGTGGCAAATTTTAGTAGCAAGAAGATCAATTTTAAAACTCGCTGATGAATGCAATGATTATGAAGATGATGCAGCAAGCTATCACTGATTGGTCAAATTTTGAAGATTTGACAATGAAATGGATGGAATTATATTGTGCAGCTCAGTAGAAGACAGTGAGGACGACCATTGGAATCCTCCCCTCATAAATAACATTAAAATCAATGTAGCTTCAAAGAGCCGCATTGGTAAAGGGAAAGCAGGTATAGGGCAGGTGGAAGAGACGGGAGAGGTGAGATAATTACTGCTGGGGCAACCACTGGCCATATCAGGAGGAAAAAGGTGCAGATGGAGTCAGCTAAGGCAATCAAATTAAGCCTCACCTAAGTTCTAGAGGAAGGATTGCAGAATATAATCATTGAAGCAGATCAGAAGCATGCTATTGACAAACTACTGAGGCACAATAGAAATGATTCATTAAGTGCCAATCTCCTGGAAGACACTTTAGCTCTACGATCCTTAATTGGTTCTTGTGGGTTCTCCTATGTAAGTAAAAGTTCATGCATGAAGTCATAGAGTTGCTTTGTTTGCAACAGAACTAGGATAGCAAATTAGATGGAAGAATTATCTTCCCACAGTTAGTTCAACAATCACAAGTAGACCTTAGGCAGTTGCCTACCACACTGTAAAGTTATTTACACACTGTTAAAACAATATTGACATTTTGGTAAAAACAATATAATTCAATTCTTGAATAAGAAAAATCAGGGTAAAATAATTTGAAAGAGTACACAGCTAATACACAATATAAACTTGTCTGATTGGCAACTCTTTTGCACTATAGGAATTGGACCTTCAAAGACCTTACAGAAAATGTTGCAAATTTTGGGAGATTTACATTACATTATAAGGCACATGTAGCATCTTTCAAGAGTTGATGCTACATCTTAGGGAATTTTTCAGTAGCTAAAAGAGTTCATATTGTAAAATGATATTTGCATTAATCCAACAGCAATGACCGTACAAGGCACCTAGTCAGCCTAGTGAGTTCAAAATTGCCAAAATTGCTTAACGAAGTCATAATTAGTGATTACAAGCCTAAACTATCATCGTGCAAGGATCTAATACAGGGTAGAAATTTTTTAAAATGATCATTGCTTAAATTGAATTGACTAATTCACCTTGCATTCCAGTCAAGGTGAGAATTGCCAGCTCATATGCCAATAAGCTGGCAGCAACTATCTCAAGGTAGCTGGCTATGGTGACAAGCTTCATCCAGCTCCGAGGATTGTGAAATTCAAGGTAGCACAAAGGACGACACGGTTGAAAGATGCTACATATCTTCAAACAACGTTGAGTAACCTTCGCTTTGGCTGAAGAAAAACAAGATCCAATCACCAAATCAACCCAAAGCAAGAAGAAATTTACAATACATTATCATGAGCTGTATTAGTACATCAAGCAAAAAAAATGAATAGGCCTGATGAAAATGTAGGATAGTGGCAAGGGATATGGGCAGCTTAAGAGAAAAGGTTATGTATTGTTTCTGGTTTTAGTTAACTCTTTAATCAATCTGAACAGAGGCGTAAAAGCATGACAACCAGATGCATATTGCACAAAACATAGCATCATGTTATGTATTCAAAAAAAAAGAAGAAGAAGAAGAAAAAAATGGGAACAGATAAAACAGCTACTTGGTAAAGAAGAAAGTACAGGTAATGCATTTAGTAGAAATTGTCAACTGACATAATTTAACTTAACATGTAGCTAATTAATTTGCATTGAGAATTGACCAAGAATCCAAAAGAAATTGAACAGGTTTTGGAACCAAAGGTTTGCAGCCTTATTCAGATTAATGATAATCAGGTGAGGAAACTTTCCAAACAGCCACTAAAGTATTGCCTTTGTACGGTTTTACCCCCTCAACTATAAATTGTAACAGATAAGCCCTTGAACAAAAAAATGCTTAGTTTAAGGACTTCCATCAATTTTGGCTGTTAAGAGGTGACGGAATTAGGAGCAAAACTGACCAAACTAAAAAATCATCCCACGAGAACAACCTGAAAGGCCTCATTGACTGATAATTTCTTCAAATTAGGGTAAGAGAAGGTGGAAGATGAAAGAAGATGAAGAAACATTAAATTCCATGTTATTAGTTGACTTAATACAGTTGGTTTTTTAACCAAATTGACAGTTGGTTTTTCTGTTTGGTCAGTTTTCCCCTTAATTCCGTTACATTTAGCGCCCAAAAATTGATGGAAGCCCTTAAACTAAGCATTTTTTTTTGTTCAAGCGCTTATTTGCGACAATTTATAGTTAAGGGGCCAAAACCGTGCAAAGTGAATAGTTTAGGGGCCTGCTGGAAAGTTTCCTCTAATCAGGTCCAAGTTCGTGTTAGAATTCAAATAGTCCGTTCCTCAGCTGCCTAAACTGCTGCTATTCCCAGGTGCAATCCAAGTTGGGATTACACATCATAATGGGTTTAAGGTACAATGGTCCAAAATATTATCTAAGATCGAGTAAAAATTACAAGCAGACAATGGTTATCATCCATTTCCACCAATACTAAAATAAGTTTTAGTTCTAGCACTGAGAAACACGGGCATATGGCATAGCAATAGATGACCACAAAGTCATGAGATAATTAAGAAATAAGTTTTTCACAAGGTTGCTATACACTTAAGGCATGAAAGTTAAGATTATTTGCATCCAATTAAAAAAGCAGAAGAGACATTGTGACCAATGACACATAAAACTGCGCACAAAAGAATATACAGTAAAGGTCTTATGTACAGCAGGATTACTGCTCTTCATATTGTTATTAAAATTATGATAAAGGAAGCCACAGAATGCATGCACACTCAATAGTTCATTTTTCAACACACAGATATATAAAATTAGAAGTAAAAGATTTGCTAGTGAAAAACTGTACTTACGTATGTCTTTTCAACCTCTTCAAGAAATTTCTCAGGGTACTCAATATAGGAAAGACAATCTTTCTTCACTGTAGCTATAAGTTCTTTTTCGCCAGCCTTTTGAAGGTTCTTTATCAAGATCCTGAATGTTAGCTTGTCAGGAACACAACCTGATCCCTTCATTGATTCATATGACTCCATTGCCTTTTCTATCATTTTGACACGGAAATATGCTCCAATCACCGCAGTGTATGTTCTAGTGTCAGGCCATAGGACTTCTTTCTCTATCTCACCAAAAAGCTGTTCAGCCATTTCAATATTGCTACTCTTTCCCAACATCAGGATCATGTCACTGAAAATAGATATATCCGGTTCATACCAAACTTCTTTTCTTGCAAATTAAACACCTGAATCCTGATTACTTTTCAGATAATGCACATTTAAAACGGAAAAAAAATCAAGCCAAGACAAGGAGACATGTTAGGTTGAACTTTGAGTCTGTTAAACGTAAACTATTTCTCTAAAAGCACAACTTTTACCATATGCCATAGCAGCTAGAGAGAGCTGAAGTGCCATTTCATTCAAAAGTTTCATTATGCAACTATAAAAAAATGCACTAAAGTCAAGTACAACCACCCAGAGAACAGATGATAGACAATGACCTGTAGTGTTCATTATAAAAAAACATTCCTTGTTTTCAAACTGGAATCAGAAGACCCTAATGTAACAAAAGAAAGGCATTTAGCTGTCGCTAGCTACCAATCTGATTATCTCTAGTTTCATTAATAGATGCAAAGCACTGTGTCAAAAAGCATGAATGACTTGTGTGGGAACATGAGTCTACCTTGACAAAGAAACTTTACATGATATTACCATATGGTACAATCCCCACAATTTTCAATGTTAGCTAAAGTCCATCTCTAAACTTACAAGCATCACTTATGTCGTCAATCTAATGCAGATCAGGAAGTCAGGGAAACCTCTAGTTTTGGATTTTCAACTGCTCTTCACTAAAAAATTTGGTATAGGCATAATTCTACTGTTATTAGGAGACTTTCCAGAGACCATCTACCAAAGAGGTGGATAGGAACTGATTCTGTTAGTATTAAGACAAAATTCGCAAATGACTTCACCTTGACCTATTGCACTACATCCATCATGCAAGTCCCACAGACAAAGAAAAAAAAATTAAAATTACAATCATGTTCACTTGATTTCTTATCTTCATCTTGACACTATCAGCACACAATTAACTGCAATCACAATTTTCAGACCACCATCCTAACAATATGAGTTATACAGTTAACTTATTAATATTTGTCAAACTTCCCAACATCATAAAAATATGGTCCAAATAAGACATCCGTAATTAAAAGCATCATCAAAACAATCATTTTTCAGTGCACATATATGTGACACACAACTTACACACAAAATTTCAGACATAAATTCTGAAATTTAAAATGCTCAAAACTCAGAAACTGTTAAGAAACTGGCTATTTTTTTTTCTTGATTTCTTTTCCGTCTTCCTTAATCTTTTGGTCACAGAAAATGCTATGTTTTTCCGAAAAAAAAATGATAATGCCCACAAAATTCAATTCTTTCTTCAACCCTTCAATTCTTTTCACATCAAATTCCACAATCCCTTTACAAAATATAATCAATCCCACGAAACCAAAACAGTCACGACCAGATATATATATACGTTTACCTGAAGAGCTAATTCTACTTCGTTTTGCCTTTGCAGCTCGGATAAAATATCCAACAAGTCAGCCTTCATGAGTCTGCTGATTCTATTGGCAAAGACCTCTGCTAATTTGTCTGGACATTTTGCTTATTTCAAAGATTGGACAGCTTGTATGGCTTCCCGAGACAACACCCTTGACCTCCACATTGGTTTTCTTGGTCCAATCTTTCTCAACGCACATGTAATTTTTAGCCTTGATGGGGGCATATGCAGATTGGGAAAAGAGAGATCGACGTTTCGGTGCAAACCCGCTTGAGGAATGCTCAATTTCAGTGAATCCATGAAAGAAATACGGCAGGAGGAAACAGAGTGAAACAAATTGGTTTCACCTTTTTTCTTTCTTTCCTTCTTAGGTGGCGTTTGGTTCGCACGTCGGAATTGGATTCAGATTCGGAATCGGATATCTTGGATTTGGAATGAGATCATTCATTCCAATACATTTGTTTGGTTCAAGTATCTGGAATGTGTATCATTACTATAATTGATGTTTGATTCGTCGACTCTTTCGGAATGGAATATAATAAATATATTATAAATCACATTGTAAATGATAATTATTGGCTCTTTGTAAATGAGATATAAGAAATTTTTACTAATTAAATATATTAGTATAAATATATTAGTAAATTTAGTCTAACTGATTAATAATTTCTATTAGTAAACATGTATAATTATTAGTATAATTGATAATATTAATTATATTACACAAATTAATATACATTATATAATATATATAACTAATATTATTATTATTATAAGTTTGTAACTAATTAAATTAAATAGTATATATATATAATTAAATATAAATATACAAATGTTATAATATAAATATACAATTATAATTATATAATATATACAAATATTAATTATACAAATATTTTATATAAATGTAATATATATTACATATTAAATATAGTTGTTATTATATATTATTATATTTAAAATAATAATAATTATTATTATTATATAATTTATTAATATTACATACATGTATATATTATAATTATACGCACATATAATATACATTTATAAATATACATATATATTATAAATATATTATTATATAATATTAATAAATTTATAATATATATTATATAAGTATAATTATATTTAACTAAATAATTATAATATATAATTATATAATATAATAATATCATTATTATAAGTTTGTAACTAATTAAATTAAATATTATATATAATTAATTATAATTATATGAAAGTTATAATATAAATATATAAATATTAATTGTACTAATATTTTATATAAATATAATGCATATTAATTAGATATAGTTATTATATATTATTATATTTAAAATAATAAATATAATTTATTAATATTATATACATGTATTTATTTTAGTTATATGCACATATAATATACATTTATAGATATACATATATATTATAAATATATTATTATATAATATTAATAAATTTATAATATATATTATATAAATATAATTATATTTAACTAAATAATTATAATATATATTTATATAATGTACTAATATTATAATTATAATATATTATATATATGTATATATTATAATATATAATAAATATAATATATATAAATATTAATTATATCATTGTATAATTATAATATGTAATTGGATTTGTTTCTTGGAATCAAACTTGGGAATCGGACAAAACCCACCAAAATACTTGGGAATGGAGAAACATTTTAACCCCCAAAAGTTTTTCAATTTTTGCAATTTAATCCCTAGTGAAGTTTGACTCTTTTTATTATGATTGTTTCTTTTCTTCAATAGCTAATTATGTTACTTTTGCGTATATTTAACTTGTAATTTTAGATGTTCTTAAATTTCTTTACATTTGACATGTTAAGGTGAATTTATTATTTTCATTATTATTATTATTTTTTCAATTAAATTGGTGCCATGATTTTTTTGTTCATTTTGAGTATAAATAGGGCAATTTGACTCCATTTAGTCATTACTTCAAAAGGGAGGTATTCCTATTATTATTTCAATGTCAATTACGTGCTCCTATGTGCTCCTACATGTTCCTACGTGTTTATATATTTTTATATGCTTTGTTTATTTGATTTGAATGTTCATTTAAATTTTCTTATGTTTGTTTAGTTAATTTTATAATTATTTGAGAGGCATTTAAATACCTCAAAAATGTAATAGATAGGATAATTAGATTTGTTTTATTATATTTTTCCCTTTTAGAATTGTAGTTAGGCTCACTGATGTAATAGGTAGATTGTGTGTTATGTGACTTATGTGTTACGTGTCTTACCCGCTTTTCTTAGGATTTTTCGCATCTAGATATTATGCTTATCTGTTACGTGCTACGTGCTCTTATGTGTTTATTTGTTTTAATTTATGCCTTATTTGTTTACTATGAATTATTAATGCATGACGTTACTACACTAGTCCAACGCTAGTTTTGGCTTCTCCCTCCGTTACTTGCTAGTCCAACGCTAATAAGGATTTTTAGAAATGAGCTAGTCCAATGCTAGACCCTTTAAGCCGTCTTGCGTTAGATTCATCTTTGTGTAATATTCATTACATTTTCATGCATATTTTCATTTTTAGGATCTTTCTTCATTTGCATGATATTCCCTATTATTTTACCCCTATCCTCTATATGTGTTAATTATATTATTTAGAATTGCATCTCATTCAAGAAATTGTAGAATAAGTTAGTTCATTTTCTTGTTTATATTAGGAGAATTATTTTTGAACATGGAAATGGGCGATTATAACTTTTTAGTTTAAATATCCATTAATCCTTGTATAAGAAAATTATGTCAAGAGTTTTTGTCTCCCGTACCCATTATGTTGCATTCCAATTCTTTGGCCATTTATATCTAGCTATATAATTTAAGTTGCTTTTCTTTTCTTTTCTTTGAATTTCATTCATGCATGCTCGTGACCCTTTCAAGGAATTATTGTGGCCTTCGTAATTAATGCGATTGGTTCAATTAAAACCTTGAATGAACATTTTGTCCCTTTTGATATTTTTATAAATTTAGATTTGCATCCATGTAGGAAACATCCAAATGTGATAAAATTAAGGGTTAGATTAAGAAAATGTTAACTAAACCTCGCAACTAGCTTAGACTAGCTTGAAAGGGTGCCTTAGGTTTGAGTTAATCGAACATTTGCCTTCCCTTTCTTCAACCGTGACGCTCGAACTCATTTTCTCTTGTTTTAAAAAACCTGGAGTTGTCAAAAGGGTTTTATTTTATTTTACTTTTTTTTGGGTGACTTGGTACACCAAAATTCAATATCAAGTGGCGACTCTTATTTTTTTCTTTAAAACCTTTTTAGATTAAATTTTGGACCCAAATTGTCGCATTCTTTTTAAGTCCCATTCTAGGTCCTTTTTCATTTATTATTAATAAATCACATCTTTTTATAAACATCTTTATTTTTCTATCACGAAAAATGGGGCACGACATATGTATGTGCGTGAGAAAGCATGTGTTTATGTGTGAAAATGTGCATGTTTAAGAGAAGACAAATGTATCTTTCTAAATGTGTGTGCAACGAAAAATACGTGCATATGTGTGAAAGTGTGTGAATATATGAAATAGGAGTAATGCCTTTGAGGGAGTATTACTATAGTAGTTCAAAACTTTAACAAATTAAATGATGCAACTTTCATTTAAAATTTTTTATACAAATATAGTTAATGTATTCCCATAAGAAAATTTTGTTGCCAAATAAAGTAAGAGTAAATCTTTCCTTTACTGATGGTGTATACACTATCATTGTTGGATTCATGATATGTATATAAAAGTTAAATTTCAAATTCAAATTTGGCATAGTTGTTATTCATCCAACGCTGATAGTGTATACACTGTCAATGTAAGAAAGATTAATTCATAAAGTAAATAGTAACTCTTGAATTTCTTCAGCCAACAAACTCCTCATCTCCCATCCTCCAGCTTTCCCATGGACAGAGACCATTAGTCTCTCACATGATTTTTTTTAGACGTTTTGCTTTGTAATAAATTTTCATTTGTAAGATACTCCTAATAAAAGTTTATTCCCTCCTAAAATTTTCCTTGCAAGAGTTTATTCCCTTAGGGTGAGGGCATTTCGTTGTTTTTTGCTCTATCATGTTAGATACAGGATCTCTTTTTCCCATTCAATTTGGTTAGATCTACATTCTCTTGCCCTTATAACTTATAAGACACGATCGGATCCTCTAGAGGAGTTGTTAATATTTATTTGTAATAGTTATTATAAGATTTGAAGTTCGATAATGTTATCTTTTATTGATTTCTCAGAGGTTGAAGAAAACTCCTTCTATGTGTTGTATTTGTTGCATGTTATTTATGTATTCGCTGCTATTAATGTAATTTTCTTTGAATCAATGAAATTCTCTTATTTGTAAAAGAAATGTTTAATAGAGAAGGCAATTAATTGTATACAAATTTAGTGCCTCTTAATGTATTTAGATGTAAGAAAATTCTGTTATCAAACAGGTCTAGTGAAAAGTAACTCGGTTTATTAGCTATAAGTAATTAATAATGGGGTTGTCGAATCTCCCCTTAGTCCATAAATTGGTTCAAAAGCAATTGTTAGAGAGAGTCTTGATGAGTGGAACAATCCAAAATGGTCAAAATTAAGCTAACTCCAATTCTTTGAATGTTTCAACTCGTTTCTCTGATCCGGGTACCTCTAACAAAAGTAATTAAATATGTAATCCTTCCAATAATAGAGCCCAAAATAAGCACCCCCTCAAAGTGAATGCTCTTACAAAAGTTTCATTATGTTTAAGATCAATAGCATTAAACCCCCCTTACCTTTTGAGGTGATTTACATTTTGCCCCATAACACTATATGTGAAGCACCTTGCCCTCTCCGCTACTCAGTGATGTTTGACTAATAAATCATATCTGAACCTTTCCAAAAACAAAAGAAAAGGAAAAAAATATGAACATATGCTTTCCTCATTTTTTAGTATAAAAGGAAATGATTAATTTTTTATACATTAATGGTATATACATTATTACTATTAGAGGTATGATAACTAATTTAAAATTGAGTTTAAAAGTTAAATTTTACATATATGTCATGCATCTAATTGTAATAATATATACAATATTAGTATATATAAAATTAATTAAAAATAGTAATTTACATCTCATTTTTTAATAAGAGTACAAGCAGCGTAGACCACATTTATGAATCCATATCACTCGGCCTCTCTTATATCTTCTTTCTCTCTAACAAACTTTAGTCTTTAACTTGATTTGGTCTTTTCTATTGGAAAAGGGGTACCGGTGTAGGCACACAATATCAG